GGGAAATCATGACTCCACAATGTTTTCTTTTTAGGGTTTAGCTGGAAATTTTGGTCAGATGTCATTCTATAGCCTTCAGCTTGGAAAAACCAAACTGAATTTAGCTCTTGCATTTTGGGTTTGCTTTGCCAGGGTGGTCAGAGATAACTGGTTCCAATTTGGGCTCCTGCTTCCCTACCTTGTCTCTCTCTCGCTTGCTCTCTCTCCCCTCCCATCACACACACAGACACACACATATGCATGCGTGAGCACACACACACTACATACACATACATTGTCCCACTAAACAAGGCTGTCTTTCAAGATGGTCTGTAAAGCCCTCATAGTGGAATTCTGGTTTCATTATGGCCTTCAGCTACTAGAGGAGTACAGGGTCTAAGTGGGCTTATTTTTAATATACCACCCAAAATTTCACAAAGTTAGAACTCCTAATTTGTGAACATATAAAAGTAAGGAAAATAACTTTGTACCTATTACCTTTTATCTTTAAGGTTTCAAATTTTCAAAGGCAACAAAACTGGGGAAGGGTTCCCCCAAGACCCTATCTATCTTCCATTTCATCTTGATTGATTCATAAGAACAATAGAATGCCTCTGTGTTCCTGGGATCCCATTGGGAGCATATTTCTATTTTTAAGAAACACATGGGAATCTGCTTATAAGTTCTGTAGATGCCAGTGAAAACTGAAGATGCCATTGTTTCAACTCCCCCCCCCCTTTTATTTCTTAAAGGTAGAAACTGGATTATACTTTCTGATAAAGTTTAAAGGGATATAAAAACACAAACAAATCTCTCCCCTCTGCTACCAAATCCCACCCTGTACCACCATTACTGAGCAGAAATTGGTGCCATTTTATACCATCAAAAGGTACCTTAGACTTCAGCTAGAGTCAAGGAGTAGGCATGTTTGAATATGCACATAATAACAAATATGCAAGAAAAAAGTCTTAGATACGTAATTAGAATTATTAAAACTATCTTAAGGAAGGTGGAAACTATTTCTAATAGTTTTTTAAATGAGTCAATGGGTAAGAAAGGATTTAATATTTCAAATTTGGATTTCCATAAATTAAAATAGTTATAATGTCCTATAACATGTACTTAAAAGTGAAATTTGTGGTGTTTGGTTACTGATATGGTTTGGCTCTGTGTTCCCACCCAAATTTCATCTCAAACTGTAATCCCCAATTATGGAGGGAGGTGACTGGATCATGTAGATGGTTTTCCCCATGCTGTTCTCATGATACTGAATGAGTTCTCATAAGATCTGATTAAGTTAAAACTGTGGCACTTCCCTTTCACTCACTCCTGCAGCCTTGTGAAGAAAGTACTTGCTTCTCCTTCACCTTCCTCCATGATTGTAAATTTCCTGAGGCCTCCCAAGCCATGCATAACTGGGATGTCAATTAAACCAGTCTCAGGTAGTATCTTTTTGGCAGAGTGATATTAGATTAATACAGAAAATTGGTACAGGCAGAGTGGGGTACTACTATAAAGTTAACCTGAACCTATGGAAGTGACTTTGGAACTGGGTAACAGGCAGAGGTTGGAACAGTTTGGAGGGCTCAGAAGAAGACAGGAAGATATGGGAAAGTTTGGAACTTTCTGGAGACTTGTTGAATGACTTTGACCAAAATGCTATGTTATGGACAATGAAGTCCAGGCTGAGGTGGTCTCAGATGGAGATGAGAAACTTATTGGGAACTGTAGCAAAGGTCACTCAGGCTATGTTTTAGCAAAGAGACTGATAGAATTTTCCCCCTGTCCTAGAGATTTGTGGAACTTTGAACTTGAGAGAGATTATTTAGGGTATCTGATGGAAGAAATTTCTAAGCAGCAAAACATTCAAGAGGTGATCTGGCTAATTCTGAAAGCATTAGTTATATGTGTTCACAAAGAGATGATTTGAAATTGGAAATTATGTCTAAAACGCAAGCAGAACATAAGGTTTGGAAAATTTGCAGCCTGACTGTAAGATAGAAAAGAAAAATCAATTTTCTGGGGAGGAATTCAAGCCTGCTGCAGAAATTTGCATAAGTAATGAGAAGCTGAATGTTATTAGCCAAGACAATGGAGAAAATGTCTACAGGGCATGTACAGACTTTCACAAAAGGCCCTCCTATCACAGGCCTGGAGGCCTAGGAGGGAAAAAAAATGGCTTCTTGGTCCAGTTCCAGGGCCCCACTGCTCTGTGTAGCTTTAAGATGTGGTGCCCTGCATCCCAGTCACTCCAGCTCCAGATGAGGCCTAAAGGGGCAAGGTACAGCTCAGGCTATTGCTTCAGATGATGCCTCAAACCTTTGGTGGCTTCCATGTGGTATTGAGCCTGCAGGCATGCAGAAAACTAGAGTTGAACTTTGGGATCTTCCCTCTAGATTTCAGAGGATGTATGGAAATGCCTGGATGTCCGAACAGAAGTCTGCTGCAGGAGTGAAGCCTTCATGGAGAAACTCTGCTAGGGCAGGGCAGAAAAAAAATGTGGGTTTGGAGCCCCCACACAGAGTCCCCACTGGGGCATTGCCTAGTGTAGCTGTGCGAAGAAGGTCCCCAACCTCCAGACCCCAGAAAGGTAGATCTATCAACAGCTTGCACCAAGAGCCTGCAAAAGCCTCAGGCACTCAATACCAGTTGGGAAAAGCTACCACAGGGACTGTACCCTGCAGACCCACAGGGGCAGAACTGCCCAAGGCTCCAGGAGCCCACCTCTTGCATCAACATGCCCTGGATATGAGATATAAAGTCAAAGGAGATTTTGGAGCATTAAGATTTAATTACCTCCCAGCCAGGATTCATATTGTAGAGGTGTGACAGGCAGTTAGTTAAACCATTGCTATTTTTCTAGATTTTGTGAAACTTACGGTATTGTTAAGTATTTAAACCTTGCAACTTGTGATTTCTTTTTCTCATTCTAAATAAATACTCACTTTCTGATCTAATCTTGTGTCCTTTTTCTTAAAGAGGGTTTCCCAAACTGTGTAAATTTCAAGTCCCACAAAATCTGGATTTCTGCATAGGAGCTGCTAAATATTTAAAAATAAGATAAAGCTTTTCCTTTTGGTTAAGAATTCTTAATAACACAGTCAAACAGGATCACAGTTCACTTTGTCCAGGATCTGACCTCTGTGATAAAATTGGTAGCTCTGGGGTGTCAGAGCAGAGAACAGTGAGAGACATGTAGATTCATCACCAATCACCCAGCAGGGAGGAAACCTGGGTGGAAACTGGCACCTACTATGGATTTCTGTTCCAGAAAAGAAATCTTCCACAAAGAAGGTCTATTGAAATGACCTGGTGGAGCTTTTACCTAATTTAAAACAAGAAAGACCGTGAGGCTGTTCAGAGAAGTATGAAACACTGGATGGGGGATATCTAGGTTCAATTCACCAAGGTTTGGTTTTCCCACTCTAAAGGAAAAGTTCAGATAAGTAGGCCTAGTGGAGGATGATGAAGATACTCTCCTGTCTTGTCAGTGCTGAGTACTGGGCTGGGTTGATGGATGTTGTGGGAGGTCCCATGGTCTATGGGGCCAGCAACCCCTGACATGATCTTATAAAAGTTTCTCTCCCTTACAAGAGCAGATGGGATTCAGATGCTAGGATCATCGTTCTGATGCAAGTTGTCAATGTCATGGACCTTTTCCTGAAGAGAAGGAGTTTCCATATGTTACTCCTCAACCCATTTATTTGTAATCCTGCTGGCTTGGTCTTTTTGGTATATATGCCCCCATTAAAAGATTAATTTGTCCTTTTGTATCTCAAATACAGCAAAATAAAGTTATAATTCTATTTCACTGTGGGCCCACAATTTGGCTCCAAGGACAGTAATAAAAAATGGTCAAAACACCCACCCTGTTCACTGGACTGGCTACCTATAGGACCCCACAGCAAGGGGTCCCAGGTTTCAAGAAAACCCATTCTGCCCTCTCTGGGAATCTGTACAATTCACATGATTGAAGACCCCTTCCTTTGAGCTGGAGTCAGGGTGGATAATACCTGGATATTGCTTAGCATTGCATTTCATAGGGAATAAAAGGTGTGTGGACGCCTTCAACTAGTCTCTGATGCTCGACGACCTGGAATTTCTGTTTCAATGTGATCAAAAGAATCAGAGTACAACACAGTCCAGAAAACTACACTGTTCCTAATTTTAGCAGTTCTGACAAAAACGGGCCACTGTCTAAATTATCAAGTAATTTTTTTTATATGACTGACTAGGTTTTTTGGGGATTCAGTGATAAAGTCTGTAATCCAGGATAACTATGAGAGAGAATAATGGGAGAGAATGACAGGAGGATCATGGCTGTAAGGTGAAGCAGGACAATGGCACATTTGACCCCAGCTTCTTTATACAAAGGCATTTCCCAGAGGACACAAAGTATTCCTGGTGCTGTGAATCCTGCAAGATCTCAGCACCAGGACATATGGAGGTGGGTTAACAAAGCAAATAGTGCCATTCTTCATGCTGGTTTGAGGCTACTCCTGAAAGAAGCTATATTTCAGGGAAAGAAGGATTTCTGTCTCCTAGTTCACCAAAATTCATAATCAAGTCATCAAAAAGAAGCGAAGTCAAGGGTTGGTGACTTTTTTTGATGCCCACCTCCTTCTAGTTCAAAGAAGACCCTAAAGGAAGCGGCTGAAATGCTTTTTCTGTGACAAGTTTCTACCTTGATTCTCCTGCCCTGAGCATTCTCACCCAATCCTCCCTGAATCCAGTGCTGACTCTCTTGTAATGAGACCTGAATTGTTTTTGCTTTGTTTCATCATCAGCATATTTCATGATTTTCTTTCTTACGGCCCCAGACCCTGCTTTTCTCTATGCCTGGTAAAGACACCTGTCTTTTTATTCTCCCCAGATGCTGTCCCAAAGCTGGCATTCTGTGAGGTTCCACCCATTTGGTTTTGGGAGCTCTCCTACTTTAGTGATAGCTGTCCCCATGAGACCTGGTGCTTGCTCAGGCCTGTGAATGGACACCCACTACTTCTACTCTCATCCTACTCCACCTTTTTCCATGTCGCACTTGATCTGCTCTTCCAGATCCTCTGGGGACACAAAGAAGTCCTCTTCTGGCACCGATGACTTGGGCCGGCAACGTCCACAGCAGCAGTTGCAGCAGCAGCACAGGCAGCAGCAAAAATAGCAGCCTGTCAAGAGGCCGATGATAACAAACAGGGTCTAGGGAAACAGAGGCAAAGCAAAATGAGGATGAGGGGTGATGGGGTGGGAGGAGAACCCCAGAAATCAAGTCTGCACCCAGGTGCCCCCAGAGACCTGAAGATTTCACAGTTCACCCCACAGGCCACTTCTTCACCCTCATCCTTACTCCACATAAGAACTATTTCATTTCCTTGGAAACCAATTTCCTGGTAAAGTTTTGCCTATAAATTAGACCCAGAAGAAATGACTTGTAGCTAAAGTAATTAAAGTATGGCATTTCTTTTTTTATTCTTAAGCTGTATGGTGATCATTATTAAGAGCCGAGCAAGGAAAGACAAAAACCAAAAAACCAACCAACAAAACCTCTACAGCCAGCAAGGGGAGCTAAATCATTCTCACCAGAATGCTAAAGAATGATTTGTCTGATACCTCCGCCTCCTACACTCAAATTCCTGCTGGTCACCAAATCCTGGAGAGTGTCTCTCCTCAAGTCTCTTCTATCCTCCTTCATGCCTCTATCCTGGCTAGCCGGGCTTCAGAATGGACCTTCACTATGTCTTGTCTGGATACTCCAGCAGCCTCCCAATTGGCCTCCCTGCCTCGCCTCTTGCCTCCCTTAAATCCATGCCGCACATTGCTGATGGAGTGAACTTTCCAAAATACACATTCTCTTGAACCCATGATATGGCTCTCCTGCCTCTCAGATATAGCCAAGTTCCTTATTATGCTGATCCGGCTCTGCCACTGCTTTGTTGCACCAGCACATCCCTGTTCTTGCCTTTCCTTCCCTTATAGCTCTGCTCTCCCTATCCAATACAGGCATTCATCTGCCTGGACGTACAACTCCCAATTCCCCAGTTACATAACAAAATACCCCCCTGGTGTGTAAGACTCATCTTAAAGATCTCTTCTATGACATCTTTCCTGATCCTGCCCAAAAACAATGACTCCCTCCTTTGTGCCCAATTGCATTTCATGCAGACTTCTACTTTGCTGCTTTCTTTAAGTGATATTTTTAGAACAATCATCAGTTTGTAGGTCTGTTTCATTGTACTAGACTCTGAGCTTCCTGCAAGCTGGCACTATCAGCTAGATAGCTAGTCATCTTTCAGTTCCTCCTACTTAAGGATTTAGTACCTGGTATGTGGTAGATGCTTATAAAATACCAGCTGAATTAATGATTGTATGAAGTAATAAATAAACAAATGATTTGCTCTACCTGGTGAACAGCAGCAGGATTTCCCCAAAAACATAAAAGGTTTGCTTGCGAAGTTTCTTATAGGTAAAGATTAAAAGAAACTCTTGATTCTCCCAATCTGGTTATAAAAAGTCCATTTTTTGTGAATTGAGCAAAATCAATTTATGATTTTATCAAAAATATGTAATTTGAAATAGAAAAAAAGGGTTTATACATCTTTAATTGAAACACAGATTTTTATCTAATTAAGGGAGCAAGAGGGATAAAGAGGACCTGTGTGTCTGTGTACTTCTTCAATAACTTAAGGTAGAAATCTTTGATGCTGACGACCCTCATCTGCCCCACTCCTGCTTCCTAGCCCTGGGCTTCATCTCTGACCCTTGCCCCACATGTGGGGTGGAGCCTCTGATGGCTCAGAGTAGGGGAGCTTCAGTCACATCCTGAAACATATAATCTCTTCTCTATGGAAATTTTACATTTTCATAGTCTTAGGTAAATTCCTCTGAAAACAACTGCAACACCCTCCACCTCACTGTCTCCACGCCCTCCCATGTGGTGTTCTTGAGTCATTGCCCCAAACTCCTCCCTTCTTTAGCTATTTTTGTCCTTTTTGTTTTTACTATGCAATTTCCATATTGTTCCCTCCTCTGAACTTTTTCTTTTCATTCATATACTGTTTTGTTCTTTAATTATTCCAACCTGATTGTTTGCCTTCTGTGAAAATAACCTTGCTTTGGCTGGCACAGAGGCTCATTCCTGTAATCCCAACACTTTGGGAGACTGAAGTGGGTGGATAACCTGAGGTCAGAAGTTCGAGACCAGCCTGACCAACATGGAGAAACTCCATCTTTAGTAAAAATACAAAATTAAACAGTTATGGTGGTACATGCCTGTAATCCTAGCTACTCAGGAGGCTGAGGCAGGAGAATTGCTTGAATCGGGGAGGTGGAGATTGTGGTGAGCCGAGATTGCACCATTGCACTCCAGCTTGGGCAACAAAAGTGCAACTCCGTCTCAAAAAAAAAAAGAAAAAAACACCTTGCTTTATCTCTTACAGTGCTTAGCACAGTACTAGGCACAAGTAGGTGTCTAATATTTTCATAAATACATTATCTTTTAGATACATGGATTCATTCATGTAGTGCGTATTTAACACATGATTGCTACATGCAGGGCCACTCTGATGGGTGTCATGAAACTGGGCTTTCGCACAAGGAGAAGGAAAAGATTTTTTTTTTTTTTTTTTGTGGCCTTATGTTTAAAGAACCACACCAGAAATTATTTTGTTTATCTCTCACACTACTGGGCAGATTGTGCTTGTCCATATGAATTTTGATCAATTTTGTCCCCTTCCTGAGCAAGGAAATTTATTCTCTTGTTTATGCAGGCAGGCCCTGATGTGCAATCAGGTAGTTGTGCGTAATCATCTGGACCTGCCTCTGCAGTATCTTCTCATGGAAACAGTGTCATGCCTGGAGATTGGGTTCCCACGCAAACTCACAGAAGCTTATACTGTTCACTGTCCTATGAACGTTCAATCTATTGACATAAATGACATTGTCAGTGTGTACATTTGCATTCCAAGTTCCAGATCTGCTCTACAGGAACTTCTCTCTCCCCCAATCTTTAGCAATAGAGAAAGGGGTTTCAAATGGGAATTCCAGGCATCCCTGAGAAAAAGAACTCTGAGGATTACAGCAAGCAAATGAGGCTAGGTTGCAAGACTCCTTTTGCATGCTGATGTACAGAAACATATTCTCTCTCTTCCTGCATATGTAAAACTCAATTTAGCCAGATTTAGTGGAAGAAAATAGCAATCAGATACTACGAGCATGAAACCTGCCTTTTTAGGGATTTAATAATTATTATTGTGTATTGAAACTTATATATGAGTGTCAACTGTCCACAAAATATGTTGATGGACTACATGCATGACCCATGTGTAAATATACTTTTATCAGAAGACAAGGACATTAATATTCACAAACAAAAACTATCATCAAACTTATATGTACTAGAGATCTCTAGGAAACCAAACAAAATTTACCACACAAAAGTCAATTCTGATTGCACTAAGTTCTTAAAAATGTCACCTTTTGCTTGACTAGATATCCATTTTGCTCTCTGTCCCCATCTCTGCTTCTCCAATTCCCTGTCCTCCAATAGTAAATTCTTACCTTTTCCCCCTCATTTCCTTCTCCTCTACCTCACAGCAGGCTCCATGTGAGTCTCTGACATAATTACCACTCATTCTCCCCAGTATCGTGTTTGCTGATGTGTCCTATGCTATAGATAGTAAAGGACATGGCTAAATTTGCCCCATAATAATTTATTAAGCAGTTGTCACACTAATAAATTATTTTTGGTTTTGAGCAATGACTCAGTCCTTAATTAGTCACTATAAAGAATTAATCTGAAGCTCCAAATTCAAATATAATTAATGTCTAGAAGTATTTTAAATCATGCTGTATCTTACAATTATTTGATGAGCTAAACCAGAAATGATCCTAAATAATAGCTTTCAGTGGAAGCACTATCTCCTTTTACTTACCAGAGTTTAATAACAGGAAGGTTATACTTCCTTTGAGATGGAATCTAAAAGAGTGATTAATATCATGGCCTTATAAGAGATTGTTTTTGAAGAAAGAAAATTCAGATTCACCTTTGCCCACCAGCTCGACAGCATGAAATAGGTGTTAACATTTTCGTCTCCAAACTGCTCGGCTACGTAGAGTCCCAGCGATCCGTACTTGTCGTATATGCTTCTCTTTGAGACGTCGGTAAGTATTGCGTGGGCGTTGTTGATTTCTTTAAACTTCTCAGTAGCAGCTGGATCATCTGGATTCTTGTCTGGATGGTGTTTCAGGGCCAATTTTCTTTAAAATAAAAGGAAAACAAGGAAACTGTTATTTGACAAGAATGAACGATGTCCTTTTAGAAAGGCACTGTTCATTTGTACATTCTTTATTCCTGCAAATACTGTGAAATCGTAAGTTTCAGACTAGTGATAAACTAATAAGTACATTTTCACTAAATGGTGTCTCTTGTTTCGAATGCACAGGCACAATAGTACTATTTCTCCTCTCACATTTCCAGAAGAATTCTCAGTATCTGCATGATTGTTGGGTCTGAGAAATATTTGTTGCTAGCAAATATGCAAAGTTTCTTTTTACCGAGAAGCTATCAGTAGCTCACCCCTACAGACCTTTAAGAGCAACAGGACCAGTTTACATCATACTTTCTTTTAGTACCAGAAGAACTTTCCAGAATTAACAGAACGTCACAACATATATTCTAAAAGTTCAACTCAGCTATCAAAAAGTCTTTCTTGAACAAAATTATCTTTCGTTAACCCTTCGTTAATCTTCCACAAGTCCTAACTCTCTCTTGGTTTTCTGAACAAATACTGTGACTTCCTTTGTATTCAAATACATATTTGGCTTCTTTCCAAATACACCTTTCCACTTACTAATCTATAGAAATTTACCTGTGGGCATAAGGCCTTCTCCTCTGTGGATCAGAAAGCAGTTCCTGAGGGACTCTGCTAGAACTTCCACCTGGCTCATCTCCCTATGGTGCCTATGATAGGTCTATGTAGGAACACACCTTAAGCTTTTGTTTATTGCATCAGTTTAAATCAAATTGTTTCATTTTAAAACAGTAGAAGAGTAAGTATACCTTATAAATCAATCTACATAATAAATGGAACAAATCACACCTATTTTAGGAACTAAAGTATTAACGATTAGGAAGTAGATGAAAATTTAAGGAGCTCAGCATCAGGATGCTTTAAATCACCAAAATTTTTAAAAGCTGTTGCCCAGGCTGGAGTGACACAGTCTTGGCAAACAAAAAAAAAAAAAAAAAAAAAAAAAAAGGAAGTAAGAGATCTCTGGCAAATACACACATTTTCTTGTTTCTAGGGTGGCTTCCTGTCATTTTTTAAGCAGCTTGGATCTTTGTCAATTCACAAGGGCAGATGCACCCAATCCATTTATCACACTGCTAACAATGGAGTTGGGCAATTTGGAGAGCTGGAACACCTCCACTTGTAACACGTCCAATTCCTGGTCATCAGCAACATTTTGATTCCTCTTGGCAGATACTCTTGGCTCCGAGGAATCCTCGGGAAACATGGTGAGCAGAGACAGCTGCCAAAATTCCACAACCGTCAAGGAGGTGGTCGTGCAATGCCTCACCCTGTTGCGTGTTGTCCATAGGTGCCTATTCTATTTAAACAACTATGGAACGTAGGGTTTAAGGAAATGCTTGGAGTATGTTTAAATAGAATAGGCACCTATGCATTGTTAAAGGTATCTGTTGTCATTTCTACTTTGATACTTAAAGTGACATAATATTCAACCAGAATGTGAGTCTTTAACTCAAAATGTCCCTACACTCTTGGTCACCTGTCAATGTGTCATGGCTATAGCTAATATTAGAAATAGCATTCAATGCCTCTAATTTTCTCTTCAAAATCTAATGACAACTTTCAACTAAAATGCATAGTGAATTTAATTAGTGGAAGATAAGATAAACATGTGGTTTATAGTTATAATTATCTAAAGCCTTCAAGATCTTCCTATTTGGAGGCAGTGGCATAATTCTAAGAGTTGCAGTGTTTGGCTCCATTCTCTTCCTTGCCACATCCAACACTTTAAGATGCAATCAAACTACTACTACTACCTACCATTCTCTACCAGTCTCTGAATCACCTGAGGCCCAATTCTGACCATGATGTCCCAGCTCTTAAAATATTTTCATGTTTATCAATCTTGTGGTTTGTATGAGGCTGTTATATATACCGTTTGGATATATTTGTAAAAGACTAAATGCATTTTAGTCTTTTACAAGTTTTTAGTTTGTTCTTTAAAGTTAATTTGTGGCATTTAAAAAATGCATATTCTTGATATGAATTCTTTGTCAGTTATATGTATTACATATATTTTCTCCCATTCTGGGGCTTTCTTGTTGTATTACTTTATGATATTTCTTGGTGAACAGAAATTCCTTATTTTATTTTACGTGAATTAGCCAATCTGTTCCTCAATTCAGGAAGATATTTTTCTATAAACTCTCTATAACTCTGAAATCTTTATAGTTTTTCCCTTTATATGGAAATCTATGGCCCATTTATACCCTGACATTGTAATGTGGTGGAGGGCAGGTGTCTAATCTCACTTATTTATATAGATATTCCACTTTTGTAGCACCATTTATTAGGAAAAGAAAATCCTTTCCCTGGATTTCTGGGGTCTGTATTCTGCTCCTTTGGTCAATTTGGTTATTTCTGGACCAATAACACTCTTACACATGATGGTTTAAAATATATCTTCATATCTTAAAGAGCAAATTCTTCCATATTGTTGTTCTTCAAGAGTTCTGTGGTTATGCTGGGTCCTGTGTATGTCCACATGAATTTTAAAATTAATTTGTTAATTTACACACACACACACACACACACACACATATTCACACAACCAATTGAGATTTTTATTGCATTTGCATTAACTCTATAGATTAATTTGGAGATTGGCGTGTATAATATGTCCACCTATTTAGGTCTTTTTAATGAATTTTAAAGTTTTATCATTTTTACCTCTATGTCTTATGTCTATTTTCTTGGATTTAGTCCTGGGAGCTTAATTTTTTTGAGATTTTGACATATAAAAATTTTCCTAATTATTCATTGCAGATAAAAAGAATTTTTTCTATTTTTATACTTAGGTTTGAGATAACTGTTGTATGTTGATTTTTTTCATCCTTCTAACTTCCCAAGCTCATGTCAGAATTTTATTGAATTATAAATTCTTTTGGATTTTTCTACATACACAATTATATAATCTCAAGTGATAATTGGATTTTTTTTCTTTCAAATCCTTGTATCATTTACATTTTTTCCTTATCGTACTGCCCTGACTAAGATCCCCAGTACGATGTCAAAAGTGGCTGTAACAGGCATCCCTCTTCGGAATTAACTAAGAGTGAATGGATGTTGACTTTTATCAAATGTTATTTCTGTACCTATAGAGAAGATATGTTATTTCTCTTTTGGTCTGTTAATATGATTGGCTGAGTTTTTAAATGTTAGATGAAGCTTATGTTCCTGGGATAAACTCAAAATTTATTGCTGGATTTGGTTTTCTAATACATGAATTAAACTCTATAAATTTTTCTCTGAGTAATATTTTGACTGCATTTCACATCTTCATATGTAGCATTGAATTCTAGATCTTTTATAATTTTAATTATGGTTTGTTATTTTTAGCCATGAGTTATTTTAAATTATACCTTCTAATTTTCAAACATATGGAAAATATCCAGCTATTTAAAAATTTTTGCTCTGTAACGTAATTGCATTGCTGTTAGAGTACATATTTGGTATGACTGAAATCCTTTAAAATTTGAGTCTTGCCTTACATTTTACTATTTTTATAAATGTTCCATGTGTGTTGAAAAGGATATATATTCTGTTCCTATTGGGTAATTTGTTTTTATAGTTTTCTATTTTGTTTAATTGTTTTGTTCAAATAGTCTATATCCTTCTATAAAATGGATATAGAAGATATCCATTTTATTGATCTATCAAGCCAGGTGTGTTAAAACTTTCCACTATGACTGTAGGTTTGCAGATTTCTCCTTAAAGTTCTGTCAACTCTTTGCTTTGTATATTTTAGGCCATGTGTTTTAGGAGCCTATGAACTTATAACTGTTATATATTCTTGGTGAATCAAATTTTTATCATTGTGAAGTATCCCTCTTTATCTGTAGTAATGCTTTCTGTCTTCACTTTAATTTTAATCAAGCTATACAGCTTTCTTTTGATAAATATCTGCATAGCATCTTTGCCCCTCCTTTTATTTTCAAATTTTCTGTATTCTTAAATAGTAAATGTGTCTTTTGTAAAAACCATATGGTGTCAGTTTTTTATTCAGAATGACTTTTTTCTTTTAATTGAAGCATTTTGTCTATATTTATTTATTATCCATAATTACTGATATTTTTCAGGTTTAGTCATCATATTCTATTTGTCCCCTCTAAAATATACTCATATTTCTTTTCCCTTTCCTTTCCTTCTTGTTGGTTTAATTTCCCATTACTCTACTTTTTTACCTGTTGGTTTGAAAATTATATATTCTTTTATCATTCTTTTCAGGGTCCTTTGGAGATTTCAAAATCCTTGACTAATGTTAATGTACTTTTGTTTTCCTCCAAAATAACACAAAAATCTTAGAGCAAGGACACTGTTACTCCCTTCTCAACTTATGTGTTGTGGGTAGCATATACTTTAATTCTCTGAGTCTTTTAAGCTCTGAATAATTATTCTCTCATGAAATTAGCATGTAAGGATATTTTGTACAATTAATATTTGTATGTATGTACTCACATATTCACCATTTTTATTACTATTAGTTCTTTCCTACATCTCTGACCATCCATCTGAGATTATTTTCCTTCTGTCTACAAACATTCTTAGTACCTCCTTTAAGTGAAAAATCCACTGGGAATTAATTCACAGTTTTCTCTAAAAAAAAGATTTAATATGACTTTATTTCACCTCAATTTTGAAAACCTTCCTGGATGTAGAATTGTAGGTTATCGGTTATCTTCTTTCATCATTTTGAAGGTTTTGGTCTACTGTCTTCTGGCTTATTCTATCTTGGTTGAAAAATCAGCTGTTAAGTCTAATTGTTGGGCTTTAAAAGTAATCTGTATTTTTTTTCCTCTGGTTGCTATAAAGGCTTTACAGCTTTAGATTTTGGAAGTTTTTCTGTGATGTTCCTGGGTAGAGTTCTTTGTATTTATTTTGCTTGCTTTTATTGAGTATATGTGGTTTAAAGTCTTTCATGAACCTGGAAAATCGACATGTTTTTTC